CTGCTGAACACTACATGGGATGTCCCATCTGTTCCCTGGAGCCAGAAGAAGGGGCTTAGACCAAAGCAACCTCTACCCCCCAATTGGCTGGGATCTTTAGAATCCAGAAAAGCTTGAGGTCACCATGAGGGGCAGTTGGGCGTTCATCTGCCTCTCAGACCCTGCCTCTCACCCCCAAACTTCTTAGGTAGTGTGCAGAGTCTGCATCCAGCACCCATTCCTCCTGGTCCTCTGTGCCTAGGAAGGAGGTCTTAGAGACTTGGGCTCAGGTGCCTCTGGCTGCCTGGCTGAGATCCCTTTGTCTGGAGCAGGGAATAAATCTGTCACCAGATGGAGGGAAGGGGAGGGGGTCTGAAGCCCAGCCAGAAGTGGGAAAGAGGAAGAAAGGCCAGGAGGCACTGACTCTGTTGCATGGGGGGAGGGCAGCCTAGACTCTCCCCCAATCTCCAGGGCTCTGGACAGGTGCTCTAGGCTCTGCCTTTGCACTGGGCTTGGGCAGCCACTAGACTGGCTTCTCAGAGACTTTGGTCCAGTAGGGGGTCTTGCATGATCAGATGGAGCTGGGAGAACTTCCCAAAGGATGCCATCCATGCTTGAACTAAGGCCTCGGAGGACAAGTGAAGATACACGGTGTGTGGAAGGTGCTTTGTATCAGACAAAGGGTGTGAAACAAGGCTTGAGGCAGGAATGAGCATGGCCTGATAGAGGACAGTCAATAACCAGTCTGGCTGCTGGGATGTGGTGGGATGTGACGTTGCTTCCCCAGTTGGGGCCTTGAATGCCAGGCAAGAAGCCAAATATGTTGAGGTGGAGAGGGTGGCACAGGGCTTTGGGCTTCAAGCAGAGAGAGTGAAGAGAGAACAGGGCTCAGGCTGGATGAGAGAGACCTGAGTTGAGAATACAGTGTGAAGCCTCAGGGGACTGCAGTTTCAGGGGTTTTAGGAAAAAAAGTGACAGACCCTCCGGGTATGAAGCAGGGACTAGATTGTGATCTACCCCCAGGGACTGAGCAGCTCCCCTCCTGCCTTCTAATTTGTGAACTGCCTCAACAGGACCCAGGCCATCTGCAGTAGTGTCTTTCATGAGATCTCACCTCAGGCCTTGGTGCTGCTGCTGTCTCTTCTCCTAGCCTTGAGTCTGAGAGGGAGGTGAGAGGAGGGATGTTTTCTGTGACTTAGGCTCCCCCGTTTCTGGTTGCACAGCCCCGAGACGGGGGAGGCATAGAGGATTGCCCAGCCCACTCCATCTAAGCATCAGGTGTAGGCCTCTAAGTTTCTCAGTGCCCCAAACTCTGGGAGTCCCTCTCTTACTACCTAACTGCCAGACAAGTAGGTGACATCGGGCCCTGCCCCACCTGCCAGAGCTGCCACCCACCCCTCCCTGAGAATGCCTTTGAGAACTACTGGCCAAAGCTACTCTTGGAGCTCAGCCCTGGGTTTGTGCTGAGTGACTGGGTGCCTTGTGTGCGTATTTGTGCACTGATGGGTGGCAGGGGTCTCATGGGAGTGAGGCTCTGTGTTGTTCACGATTCACTGCAGGTAGTTTGGAGGTATGTAGAGGTACTGAGTGTATGCAGGTGTGCAAGATGTGGGTAACTGCCGGGACAGCAGAGGTAAGGCTCTGGGTGGCCTCAGTTTCCCTGTGAAGGGCCTGTCTGCTCTGGGGGGTAGCTTACGCAAGTGGACACACACATAACTCCCCTCCTCCAGCCAGACTTGCATAGTTTGAAGGAGTCCCTCAGCCTGGCTGGTTGGCAGGCCCCTGGCCACACAAAGCCTAGCTCGCAGCCTCTTGCCCACCTTTGTTGTCACTGAAAGGGAGGAGGGTGCTGAGCTGGAGAGGGGGTGCAGAGCCATCCATGAGTTAGAGAGCAGAGCGGCTTTGCAGCTTTTGCTCAGGAAGAAGACCAGTGAGGGAGGAAGCTCCACCAGGATTGGAACGGGAACAGTCAAGGAAGCAGGGACTTACTGGACCCCGACTCTGGCTCTGTCTAGTGGTTCTTTTCTCTACATACCAAAGACAGGAAGTTAAGCCTTCAAGAGTGGTAACCGACCTCAGGTCACACTTGGTGGGTGTGGGAAGAGATTCAAATACAGGTCTGTTCTTATCTCCATCCATCATTGTCCCTGTCCTGGGGGCAAGTGGTCTGGGACTCAGGGAATGCCCCACTGTTGCCACTGATTGGAATTCTAAGGGTTGGGGTCAGGGGTAAGGTGGGAATGGGCCTCCAGCTTGCCTAGAGCCTGGAGTGGGTGTTGGGGCTGGGAAAAGAAGCCTGGCTCAGGTTGGGTAGGGCCTGGAATATCAGAGCAGAGGGCTTGAGCTTCATCCTGAGGGCTGTGGGAGACTTGGAAAGGTTTTCAGCAGCCGAGTGATATGGTCGTTTTTGGAAAGATCCCTCTGGTTGCTTAGGTAGAGAATAGATTCAAGGGGTAAGATGCGACATGACTAAAGAAGGGACTGCTTCAGTGTCCAGGTAAGTGGAAGAAGCCTGGGCAAGGGCAGCGAGAAAAAAAGTGGGGCTATGCAGTAATACTGAGCATTTGAGCTGAGGCTTGATATCAAGCAGGCAGAAGGACATCGGGCCTGGGACTGGGTCTCAGGCTAGCCTGGGATAGAGTCTTCACCTTACTCTTCGCTGAGTGACTTTGAGAGGCAACTTAGCATTACCAGGTCTGTTTCTTCAACTGTAAAGTGGGGTTCATAAGGCATGTTTTGATGGGGTCACTATGGGGAGTCAGAGAGATCATAGCTGTGAAAGAGTTGATGCTCAGGTACTCAGCCAAAGGGGCAAAGCCTGGCAGAGATGGGCCTTGGAAAGGAGGGAGGGCTGCTGACTGCTGGTAGGTTGGGTGTCCAGGGGTCTGGATCCCATCTGGAACCTGGTGATACTGGGGTTGTCTCAGGCTGGACTGAGCCACAGTGGGAGTTCACTGGCTGCCCTGCCTTGGCCAGGCTGTGATTCTGGTTTTGGCAAGGAGGCGGCCAAGAAGCTAGATGCCATGGGTTTCACGGTGCTGGCCACTGTGTTGGACTTGGATGGCCCTGGCGCCCTAGAGCTGCGTGCCTGCTGTTCCCCTCACCTAAAGCTGCTGCAGATGGACCTGACCAAGCCAGCTGACATTAGCCATGCACTAGAGTTCACCAAGGCCCATACCACCAGCACAGGTCAGTGGGTACAGCTCCCCCCAAAAAAGAGTGGCTGGGTGGGTGTGAAGGGGCAGGGATTGGAGGTTTGCTGCTAGGCCGACCCATAGCTTCCTTCCCTGGTCCATGCCCTCAGGCTTGTGGGGCCTGGTCAACAATGCAGGCGTCAATGATGTAGTGGCCGATGCTGAGCTGTCTCCAGTGGCCACGTTCCGCAGCTGCATGGAGGTGAATTTCTTTGGCACACTGCAGCTGACCAAGGGCCTCTTGCCACTTTTGCGCCATTCAAGTGGTCGCATCGTGACTGTGGGCAGCCCAGCAGGTGAGTACACTCTCACAATGCAGCAGAAAAAGAGCAGCTCAGGATGCTGGAGCCCCTGGTCCAGGCTAAGCTGCCCCATCCCCAATCCATCCCCAGGAGACATGCCATATCCATGCTTGGCTGCCTATGGGACCTCTAAAGCGGCCATATTGCTACTCATGGACGTATTCGACTGTGAACTTCTACCCTGGGGGGTCAAGGTCAGCGTCATCCAGCCTGGCTGCTTCAAGACAGGTGAAAGTCAGGGTTGGGTGTACACAAAGCCTGGGGTTGGGAAAAGGAGTGAGGTGGTGGTTTTATCTGGGGTGGGGACAAGTCTGAGGAGTGGGTGTGGCTCTGGCAGAAGGCCAGTTGTGGGTAGGTTAGATAAGCCTGGGTCTGGCTTTGGCTTCCCTAGCTGACCCCACGCTGACCTTTCTAC